AAAAAAAAAAAAAAAAAGAAGAAAAAAATTATAATCATTATGGCTCGTTTTATAATGTTAATTAATTGTCTGTTTTTGATGAATTTGTTATGTTATTTTATGTTTCCTGTATCTGCCATTCCAACACCTCAAGATACACAAAAGAATGATAAAATAATACCAACAACAAATACCGATATTTCTTCCCCTTCAAAAATCCCATCGAATCGTTTACTATTCACCGGAGGTCATTGGTTTAATGAACCAGATATGATCACTTTCTTCGTAAGAATGGATGAATCAGTTAATATTGATACGATACCTAGTACTTATTTAATAATAGGGAATAGTGAACGAATTTTGATGTCGTCACATTTAAATAATGTATCAGGAATTGGTTTAATTAGAACTGGTATGGTTTTTCTATCATTTTCTTTTTTCTTTTTTTCTTTTTTTTCTTTTTTTTGCTTTCTTTTAACATAATTTCTTTATTAGTATCTTTTCCTCGAGACGGTCATTGCCGGGAATATCATTTTGAAACACTTCAATTTGGTAATGTCAATAGATGGCCTAAAAATAACGATCTTCTTACTGTAGAAGGTGACCGTTGTCTCATGCCAATTAGTAAGTCCGGATTTTCCCGTATTAAGATGTCATCGTACATTATTCGTTACTAATTAATGTATAATCTTTACTAAAAAAAATTTATATTTACATTCACCACGTTCACCTCTTTTCTTTTTTAAAAATAACCTATTTTTTTTTTAAATAGATGAAGGTCTTGCGTGGTTTATATGTATAGTTGATCTATCGATAGCTTTCGCTTATTACACTATTCCATTTCAACTAATGTACTTTATGAGAAAAGGTAAGAATTGTGATCACATGACTGTGACGTATACAAAACAAAAAAATAAAGTTTTTATTTGTTTACATATATATATATATATATATATATATATATATATATTATTATTATTACTATTATTATTATTATTATTATTATTGTTATTATTATTGTTATTTTATACTTTAATGTTTGAAATGAATGTAGAATTGTTTTAGCCAAATAGTCCTTTCAAAAATTCTTTTCAACTGATTCCTTTTCAAATATTTTCAGGAAAATTAAGAGCTTTCATTATATTGTGCGGTACAACACATATCGTCGCCTCCTGGATGGCATGGTATCAAACACACGTGCTTTCCGCGGTTATAAAAGTAATTTG